TTTATTCCTGACTTTGGTTATTTGTGCTTTCTCTTTTTTTCTTGATTAGTCTCATGAGAGTTATGTCAATTTTGTAGTCTTCCTAAAGAAACATACATATGGATTTGTTAATCCTATTTTTTCTATTTTGTTAATTTCTGCTTTTTATTACTTTTTAACATTTTTGGGGGGATTTGTTTTAACCTTTTGAGTGGTGCTTAGGTGATTACCAAGTTTTTGATATTCTAAAAATATTTTTAAGCTATAAATTTCTAAGCACTGCTTAAGCATCTTCCCACTGTTTGGGTATGTGGCATTTTTATTATCATTCAGTTAAAACATTTTTTATCTATGAACCATGATTTATTCATGTATTTGTCCATTTCTGAATATAATGGGAATGTCCTAGTTATCTTTATTATTAATTTCTCATTTAAATGCATGACAGAATTACCCTGATTTCCATCCTTTTAAATTGTTGAGATTTACCTTATGGCTCAGCACATAGTCAATTTCTGAAAAATGTTTCATGTGTGTTTGAAAGAGCATATGTATTCTTGATATAATAGTACATGTATATCCATTAGATTGCTTGTGAATCATATTTTTAAATGATTTTAAACCATATCTTTACTCATTTTTAGTCTGCTTGCACTGTTAATTACTGAGAGAGGTGTCAAAAATCTTTCAACTGCTTTGAGTTTTGTGAATGTTTCCCCACTTTTGAGCCATATCGTTAGATAAATACTAACTTAAAAACTGTTATATCTTCCTAATATTTCCCCTGAATTTTTTTCTTGAAGCAATGGCTCTCTTTATCTCTAGGAATGGTTTGTGCCATAGTTTATATTTCAGCTAATGTTAGTCGAGATATGGCAGTTTTCTATTGACTACTATTTTCTTTATATATTTTCTTTCTATTCTCTTACTTTCAAACAGTCCTTATATTTGAGTCTCCTCTAAACAGCACAGAGTGGGGTCTTGTATTTTTGTCCTGATGAAGTACATTGGATATAAATACTGATATTTTTGGCTTAAATATTTACCATCTGTTTTTTTTTTCTTTGACCTATAAATTGTTACTTTTCTTTCATTTGCGATTTTCATTAAAAAAACTCTTATTCTATCCACTAGTATCAAAATTAGACTTTCTACTTTATGATTCCCTAGATTTTATAATTACAAGATTACTCAAAAACTTTATATTCATAGACCACCTCAATCCTTTATTTTTCTTGATTTGTTATTGTCTGGTGTTTTAAGTCTACTTTAACAACTCTAGATTATAATTATTTTATGTAAAACTTTCATTTACATTTGCCCACATTTCCTACTTTTTGCTCTTCCTTATCCTTAGTTTTTACATCTCATAACTCTTTGTGGTATTGCCTTTCTTCTGTAAGTTCTTTAGAATTTCCTTTAGTGACGGCCTGGAAGGGATCAATAAAATAAATATTTTCTCAAATGAAAATTTTTTTTTAAAAATGTGCTTATTTTGTCCTCATTCTTGATTTTTTTCATTGGCTATTAACATTCTAGGTTGAGTTATTTTCTATCTTTATACTACAATTAATTCCACTCTTGGCTTTTATTGCTGAGGAAACCAACAGTTGTTTCTTTGATAGTAATTTTTGTTTTGTCTTTTGCCAAGACCTTTTCCTCTTTAACCCATTAAGTCCCAAGCTTTCAATGCTACATAGAATGATGGGACATATGAAATAATTTTCTATAGTAACACTATGATATCTGTAGGTGTGGTTTTCATAAATTTACCTTGCTTTGTGTTCTTTGGGGTTTGAAATCAGTAGGCATATTTTTCATCGACTTTAAAAAATTCTCAGCCCAATGTCTTTCCCTTTTCTTGTGTCAAGACTATGACTAAATACAAAAACTTCTCAATGAAGCCTCCCCATCTCCTGTATTGTCCTATTTCCATGCTGCATCCTGGACATTTTTACATATCTTTCAATTAATTCTCTTTTCTGTATGTCCCACTCTGTTGCCAAATACATCTTTAATTATTTTAAGCACAGATGTTCTCATAAATATACCTGATAATTCAGTATGGGAAGTCTATGTGGGTCTGTTCCTTTCTTGGTTTTCATTTATGTTGCCATTTTTCTATGTGCTTATCTTTTGACTGTTTGGTGAAATAAATAAAAATGATTTATAAGCCCTGAGGTTAGAATTGAAGAAATCCTTTTTTGTGTGTGTGTTTACCAGGTGTCAGGTTGTTTTACCTAGATCTGAGTAAAGGTCTAGATCTGTGATCACAACTCATCAGGAATGCTTCCCCTTTCTCTTCTACTGGTTTGCTCAGTAACAAGGCAATTGTCTTTACACTTGGGGGAGTGGGGTCATATCTGATTCATCTTATCTTGAGAGGGTGGCATTTTGGGAACCCAGATCAACTGCAGAAAGATCTCCTAGTAAGATTCATCATTTTGGGTGGGCCTGGCCTTGAACTTCTGATTTAGCATCCATTGAACAGCATTAGCAGTCTAGAACAAAAGCTGTATTGGTGTTCACCTCTTTAATTATAGGACCCCATTTTTAAAACCAGTATTTTTAGCCTCCATGCTTTGAGAGGGAGGGGCAGTGCTATGGTCTAAATGTGTCAATTTGTTTCAAATTCGTTTGTTGAAACCTAATTGCCAACTCAGTGATAGTGTTAGGAACTGGCACCTTTGGGAGGTGATTAAGTCATAAGGGTACACCATTTATGAACTGAATTAGTGCCCTTTATTAAAGGAGGCCTCATGAAAAAGGAAAAGAAAAGCAAGGGGGATCTCATGAATAACAAAGAGAAATCAGAAAATAGGGATCAGGGGGTGAAGGGAGAGGAATGCTGAGGAGTAATATTGGCCAAATTGTATTGTTATATTTTGTGCATGTACATATATGTATGTAACAAATTCTATCTTGTTACATGTAAGGATGCAGGAAGAAGTTCCCATCTACAAACCAGGAAATGGACTCTCACCAGGCACATAATCCAGACTTGCTAGCCTTCAGAGCTGAAAAATATATTTGACTCAGTTTGTGGCTTTTGCTACGGCAGCCTAAATGGACCAAGAGGGCAAATTACCTACCTTTTAAAGACACCCAAACTGATCCAAATAAAAGCCTACCTTTAAAAGAAAGTAATGTCCCACCTTTTTTCCCTTTACAAAGTTTTTCATTCATTTTTATAGTGTATTTTTGTCGTTTTAATGCTCATCTACGACATTTTCCCATGTACATTTATTTGACTCTGAAATCTAGAGTTAAACAACATCTTGATCTCCCCCTTCTATATAATATAATCACTTTAGGCTTTTATGAATATCTTAATTACCCACTAAAAAAAGTGTTTGATTTAATTATAAGTTGGCAAATTTTGCTCCCCATGCCCTTGCATATTGTTCTCTGTTCTTAAGTGGGTAGGGGTGGTTCCTCACAACCATAAATTACTGCACTGGCCTGAGTAGGTTCAGCCTAACTAATTGGATCTGCTCTTTGATGTCCACCTGGGGCAGCTGAAGACCAAGAGACCCCAGATATACTCAGTATCTGTATAAGCTCAATTTATCTGGCCCTAGAACTATTTAAGGCCTGGGTCAAGAGGCCAGGGGCCCATTTTCCAAGCATCTAAATAGATGGGGACTGAAGTAGGTGCGTGCCTCATGTTCAGTGCACTGGAGTGCTTAGGATTCACATCTGAAAGGTGGCCAACCTCTACTTTGTTACTTAACCTGCCTTCCTGAAATTAGGCAGTGTACTAGGTCTGGTTGGAATCCAATGAATTGGAACTGTGCAGGAGGTGGTCAAATAACAGGCATCCTGACTGCCCTGGCCATGGGGCACATGGAAACTTCAGGTAACAGAATTGTCTTAAGAAGTCAGAGCTGGTTTCATCTTCAACAAATAAAAGGCCAATCTGTATCACAGCAACTACTGGGAATGGATACTCTTAAGGCCTCCTTTTCTCCACTCACCAAACACCAACCCTGCCAGATACCTAAACACATGTGCTGCTGGCTCTATTTAGGGTTTTCTCCTCCTCCCCATAAAAAGAAAGAAAAATCAACTCAATGTCTTTCATGCCTCCCTCTTTGTTGGCTGTGCTCACTTTCCTCTGAATACCTACAAAGGTTAGCTTAGTTCAGACATTCAATAGAAAGGTATTGTGATCTTTTTCTCTTATATCTGTCTCCCAGGTACTCCTGCTTCTATCCTCTCCCTATTTGGTGCTTAGACAGTGGATTGTGCCTAGTAAATTCTTAACAAGTATTTGCTGAGCAAATTAATTCAAATCTATATTGGATAGAGTCAGGTTTGCTAGTGTCATATGTAGAAAAGGACATACATCAACGGTGGTCATGGCATTTCAAAGTGGAACTGAGTGGTAGAAATACTTCATCTCCTCCTTTCTTTATATCATCCATCAAAACCTACAGGTATTAGAAGACAGTACTCTCTAGTGCTCCTAGAAAGCAGCATGGAAACTATCTGGCTGCAGTGACAGGAATCCTAATGAGATAGGAAACAATCTGGCTGGAGATTGTTTTCTTATAAACACAGATTCTGAAGCCACAGACCAGACTTAGAATTTAGCCTCTATTGATAAGCCCCACCCACAGTCTTTTTGGGTAAGTTAGTTAACTCAGAAGAGTTTACTTTTACCATGAGTTACCTAGCTAACACTTCTACATAGCTAACAATATTTTATATTAAATTCTACCTGTTCCTAACAAACTGTTTCTGTGGGGTGATTTCTCACATGGCCTGCCTACTCCCACAAGTTTTGATCTGGCCCCAAGATAAGAATCACATTGCTTACCTGTGGTCCCCTCAAAATCTATCTGTGCTTCTTCTAGTGGAGGCACCATCAGGTAAAATCTAAGTTACCAGGCTGTAGTATGAGTGTCCTGATGTTCTCTCTGGTTTAGATTTGGTATAACTTATTCCACAAAAATATAACACACAAATGGCTCTGTATATTTTTCTATCTAAAGTAAGTCACAGCCTGTTTACATTTGAGGAATTTCTTTATTGGAGTTCAATCTTACCTCACCACAATTACCTGGTCTTTATGGCAGAGCAGAATGAGCCCTGAACAAAGTATTCATAACATTTTACGACAGACAATATACACATGTAGTGCATGAAATCTTTACAACACATTCCAAAACAAACATTTGACAAGATTTAGAAACATGAATTTCCTCTCTCGATTACTAGTAGCTACTTAGTTTTTTAGCTACCACAATAAAATGCTCTCCTTCCCAACATTTCTATTCACAGGAATCCCTGAATTGATTCTTTCTGAAGGTGCAAATTCATGTTGAAGATTCATGTTCCATTAGTTATTGAAGATGGCAAAATACTCTCCATTGTAGGACCTTTTATGGTAGAATATGTGAATACCAGGTTTTCACTCATCACACAGTCATCATTTATTGAGGGGGTTCATTTGAAACTTTAATTTTCACCCATTCAACTCTTGAATTACAATAGTACATTTCACTCAATTTGCATTTTTATAATACTCTCCTACTCCTGTTAGATTTATAAGTTTATGCTTTTTACTTTACTACAAGGAAATCCAAATTTTTCTCATCCTATCCCCCAAACCATTCAATTACATTGTTAATAATCCATGATTACTAATAAATAAATTTATATTCCCTGAAGCCTATCTCTCCCTGAATTTGCCCTTTGGAGGCTCTTCTTGGATTTTTTTTTTTCCCCACTGACCAATACAATCTTATTGGGATGCAAAGCTATGTCTGAATTTCCTACATTTCTATTCACAAAATTTACCCAAATATGAACTCTCTAATGGTGACTTTGTGATTTCTAATTGAAGTTCTTTCTTCATATACATTTTTATGTCCAGAAATGTCTGCTCACTTTGAGGATTTAAAAATATCCCATTGTTTTTGATAGGTTTTATTCCCATAATGGACTATTTTACACTCCAAAAGGGCTCAATTACTTTAACACTGGAGCCTTCTTTGCTGATTATGATTGAAAATCACATAGTAAAGATTACTCTTGATCATCTAAAATGGTTTCACTTATACTATGAAATTTGTAAGCCATGAATAAGGGCCTCAGAAATTCTTACATTCATAAGGTTTTTCTTCTATTTGAGTTCTTTGAGACTTAGTAAGCTCTGCCTCCCACAGAGGCATCCTCATCCTGGTCCCATCCAGAACATTCCCTCCCTCGTAGATTATCTTCTGGGATGTGCTACTATAACTTTCCACATTTATCACATTTAGAGATTCCTCTCCAGTATGAATTCTTTTATGCTTGGTGAGATTTGATCTGATATTAAATGCCTTCCCACACTCATTACAGCGGTATGGCTTCTTTCCAGTATGAATCCTTTTGTGTTGGTCAAGGACTGATCTATAATTAAAGGATTTCCCACATTCACAATTATAGGGCTGCTTCCCCTGGTGGACACTTTTATGGTTGATTAGACTCGAGTGTGAGATATATGCCTTTCCACATTGATCACATTCATAGGGTTTCTCACCTGTGTGGATCCTTCTATGCACTGTGAGGCCTGAGCTGTTCCTGAATGCCTTCCCACACCTATCACATACATAGGGTTTTTCCCCTGTGTGGATCCTCTTGTGTTGAGAAAGGAGTGAGCTGTAACTGAAAGATTTCCCACACTCAACACATTTGAAGGGTTTCTCTCCAAGATGGACTCTTTTATGGCTTATAAGTGTTCTGCTAGAGAAAAAAGCTTTTCCACATTCATCACATGTATAGGGGGTCTTACCAGGATGGGTACTTTTATGGTTAATAAGGCTTGAGTGTGAGATGTAGGCTTTTCCACACACATCACATTCATAGGGTTTCTCCCCAGTATGTATTCTTTTATGAACTTTAAGGCTTGAGTTGTTTCTGAAGACCTTTTCACACCTGTCACATTCATAGGGTTTCTCTCTAGTGTGGACTCTTTTGTGTTGAGAAAGGAGTGAGGTGTAGTTAAAAGATTTCTCACATACATCACATTTATAGGGCTTCTCCCCAAGATGAATTTTTTTGTGGTTTATGAGGGTTCGGTATGTGATGAAGGCTTTCTCACACTCATCACACTTAAAGGGCTTTTCCCCAGGGTGTACACTTTTATGATTTATAAGGCTTGAGAGTGAGATGTAGGCTTTCCCACATTCTTCACATTTGTAAGGTCTCTCCCCAGTGTGGATTCGTTTATGTACTTTAAGGCCTGAATTGTTTCTGAAGGCTTTGCCACACTCATCACACCCAAAGGGCTTCTCCCTTGTATGAATCCTTTTATGCTGTTCAAGTGCAGAGCTATAGTTGAAGGATTTCTCACAATAGGTACATTTATAAGGTTTCTCCCCTAGATGAATTCCTTTGTGATTTTTAAGGCTAGAGCGTGAGATATAAGCTTTCCCACACACATCACACTTATATGGTTTTTCTCCAGTATGAAGTCGCCTGTGAACCTTGAGGCCTGAATTGTTTCTGAAAGTTTTCCCACACACATCACATACATAAGGTCTCTCTCCAGTATGAATAGTCTTATGTTGAAGAAGAAGTGAGTTATAACTAAAGGACTTGCCACACTCCTTACATTCATGAGCTTTTTTTCCTGGGTGAATGCTTTTATGAACTGCAAGGCCAGAGCTATAGCTGAATGCTTTGCCACAGACATCACACTTGTAAGGTTTCTCTCCTGTGTGGATCCTTTTATGAACTATAAGGCCTGAGCTGTTCCTGAAGGCCTTTCCACATTCATCACATTCATAAGGTTTCTCTCCAGTGTGGATGACTTTATGTTGAATAAGGAGAGAGCTATAATTAAAAGATTTCTCACACTCATCACATTTGTAGGGTTTATCTCCAAAGTGAATACTTTTATGATTTAGGAGTGTTCTGCAAGTAATGAAGGCCTTCCCACACTCATCACATTCATAAGGTTTCTCACCTGTATGGATTCTTTTGTGGACCCTCAGGCCAGAGCTATTACTGAAGGTCTTCCCACAGATGTCACATTCATAGGGCTTCTCCCCTGTGTGGATCCTTTTGTGGACTCTGAGACCAGAACTATTCCTGAAGGCCTTCCCACACTCACCACATTCATAGGGCTTCTCCCCAGTATGAATCCTTTTATGCTGGTCCAAAACAGAGCTATAATTGAAGGACTTTCCACATTCATCACACTTACAGTTCTTCTCCCCAGAATGGGTACTTTTGTGGTTTATAAGGCTGGAATAGGACATGTAGGCTTTCCCACATTCATCACACTTGTACGGTTTCTCCCCAGTATGGATCCGTTTATGGACTCGAAGGCTGGAGCTGCTCCGGAAAGTTCCTCCACAGTCATCACACTCATAGCGTTTTTCCCCTGTGTGCATAATTTTATGTTGAACAAGGCGGGAATTATATTTGAAGGACTTCCCACACTCATCACATTTATGTGATTTCTTAAGAGCAATGGTATTCTGCTGTAGGCTGGCATGAGAGTTTCCATTAATGCTCTCAACACATTTACCTTGTTCACTGCTTTTCTGTTCCATAGGGACAGTCTGATGTGTAATATGCTTTGAGCTCAGATGTAAGCTTTTCTCAGATGCCTCATCTCGTTCTGTTTTTATATTTGTCGTGTTCTTGGTTTTGTCAATCTTCTCCCTGATGCCACTTTTGTCTTCCTTCATTCTTTTCCACTCAGGCTTTTCCAATTGATTCCCTATCTTGCTATCCCAATCATGAGTTTTATCAATAGATTCCTGCATATGATCCTTGTGAAGACCTTCCATTTTTGGCCACTTAGATTCTGCATTTCCAACATTTTCATATTTTTCAGTTGATTCCTCATCCTCAGTGCCCGTCTTCAAATGTGACACTAAACCAAGAAAATGAAAATGATACCTGTTCACTTTGTTTAGAAAAAACTGGAAGAATAACATTAAAATTCATTCATTCACTTGATAAATATTTATTGACTGCATGCACCATAGATACCATTTTAAATACTGGAGATGTAACAGTAGACATGACAAAATTTCTGTTAAAACCAGAGCCCTGAATTTCAGATCAAAGAGCTTTCCAATTCTTGCATAACAGTTTAGCATGACAGCAAGTTGAAATGATGCACAGAATAACAGATAACACTGATCAATTTTTGAACAATTAACCTAGTCATGGAACAATGAACAGAAGGTAGGAAAAAAATCTCTGAAGAACAGGAGACAGAAAGATTATTAAGATAAAAGTTAGGGAGTTGGGAGGGTGGTACTGGGTACTTTACCACTAAGCTATATCTCCAGTCCTTTTTAAAAAAATTTTTTTAAATTGTATTTTATTTTAAAACAAGGTCTTGCCTCAAATTTGCAATCCTCCTGTCTCAGTCTCCTAAGTCATTGCAATTACAGGCATGTGACACTGTGCCTTGCATAACTTTTATTTTTAATTATGAAAGTTACACATAATCAGCAGAGGACAGGCAAACTAAAGAAATCAGTACCTGTGTAGAGGTATCAGGGAGGTGGTTGTAGTTATGAAATCATGAGGATGATCACTGCAGAGATTAGAAAGAAAACAACCTGCAGCTGCCTTAAGTTGGTTTCCTTCCGGACTTTCCCTCCAAGGAAAACACTGGCCCTGGAAAGTGATTAGGGAAGAACTCTACATGAAAGAACATGTTCCGGCCATAAAGCTTTTATTCCTACTTATAAACAGGCTAACTATTGGGCAAATCAAAGATTAGATGCAAAACCATGAACCAATGAGCAAAGAAAATACAGTTGGCTCACCATATCTGCAGATTCTGCATCTGCAAATTCAGCCAATAATGAATTAAAACTACACAGAAAAACAAAATTTCATCCACATGGAATGTGTACAGACTTTTTTCTTGCCATTATTCCCTAAAAAATACAGAATGAGAAAGATTTATATAACATTTACAGTGCTGTAGGTATAATAAATAATCAAAGGATGACTTAAAGTACACAGGAGGATGTGTGTTGGTTATATGCAAACACTATACCATTTTATATAAAGACTTGAACATCTACAGCAGATTTTGGTGTCTGTGTGTATGTGGGGGTTTCCTGGAACCAATTCCTTTTGGTAACCAAAGAATTAATGGAATACTTCCTAAGTTCAAATACCCAGCTGTATGCCCCTGAGAAAGTTATTTAATCTCCTTATACAGCAGTTTGCTCCTGTGTAAAATGAAGGCAATAGAGTTGTTGTAATATTAAATGATAATATGTGTAAAAGCACAGAGAACTGTGCCTGTTCTTTGGTGAGTGCTATATGTTATAATTATTTGTTGGACTATTAAAATGAAGTCGAGTTATTTCAAGTCGAGTTATTGGATTGAGGTTTAAACCTGAGTGATTAAAGCACATGACTCAGAAAAGGTAAAATTCCAAAAACAGATTCTAAGATCTTTGTTCCCTTGAAGTCATACTACATATCATTTGTTTTCCATTCGTACCTACCTACTAAAATACTAAGTCCTGAGAAGAAAAGATACTATTCTAATTATTCTAAGCTAGTTACTCCTAAACCTTAGACAATGAGACATTTGCGATTAGATTTAATTAATTTTGTATTTTCTCCTCTTATCCTGAATGCATATCAGATTCTTGGATAATTACTTTGAAATCTGGATAATCGTACTTTGAAAACTCTATAAGTAAATGTTAGGAGGAAACAGGAGCAATAAAAGGAAGGTAAAATATATATTTTAGAGTACATATGAATAAATAATCACAGTCAAGCTGGGCAGTGGCATGTCTGTAATCCCTACTCAGGAGGATGAGGAGAGAGGATTGCAAATTTGAGGCCAGCCTCAGTAACACAGCAAAACCCCGTTTAAAAGAAAGAAAAAGTAAAAAACAGTCATGATCTAACTTATGGATAGAAAAGACTCCAAATTAAAATTTACAAAATAGGGAGGCTAGGGTTGTGGCTCAGTGGTACAGCACTTGCCTAGCATGTGTGAGGCATTGGGCTCAATTCTCAGTACTACATATAAAATAAACGAATAAAATAAAGGTCCATCAACATCTAAAAAATTTTTTAAAAATTTTACAAAACAGGAGAAGCAGTTAGGAACTCAGGAGATCACTAGGAAGACAATCATTCAGTAGACATTAAATCAAAAGGTGTTTCAGCTGAGAGAATATCACAAAATGACTATTATGTAATTAAATATTATATATTAAATACTAAGTAAGAATCAACTGAGGTCACTGAAGAATGGTGGCATGGCTTACTTCCCTGCTTCCTTTTATTACTTTGGATAAAGTGGTCCATGTCACTTAAAGTGTGAGGGCTACTATTTGGGCATAATTCCAGAACCATTAGCAGCAATACATCTGTGCTCGGAATGCTGTTCCCATACATATCAGGTCCTGGTCCACTCATTTCCTTTTCAACTTTGTCCCTTCCACTTATACTCTCCAGGACAGAAAAATGTTTATGCTTCTATAGTAATAAAGCCAAATTTCTCCTTTAAAAAAATACAAAAGAAAAAACCCACAAAAAAATGTTAAGGGAAAAAAAGAAAAAAAAGGCTAAGGGGGTACAAGTCATACTAGATATTAAAATATACTATAAAGCTTCTATAATTAAAATAGTGTGGTACTGGTACATAAATAGAAGAAAGTTCAGAAACTTCCCCAACTACACATAGAAATCAATGGTAAAGATGGTATCTCAAATTACTAGGTAAAATCCATCTTTTATGTTTTAACAACTACAAAGCCATCTGGATAAAGATATTAGATCCATTCTTCATAACATACATAGGAATAAACTCCAAATGGAACATAGCTCTAAATAAAAAAGCTATACAAAACATGGGTGAATGCCTCTATAACCTGGGTATAGAGAAAGCTTTCTATAAAGATGCAAAATAAAGACTGAATTTAACCACATAAAAATAAGATTTTATGGTAATAATACTATAAGCAAAATTGAGAAATAAAAGACAAAATAGAAGAAAATATTTGCAACATAACATATATAAGGGCCAATATCCTATTATACGAAGAATTTTCAAAAAGTGAAAGAAAATAAGACTAAAATTCCTACTGAAAAACAGGCAAAAGATATGAAGAGATTATTCACAAAAAGAAATACTAAACATGAAAAGATATTCAACTTCACTAATGAAAGAAACATAAGAACTATAGTAAGATACCATTTTGCACCTGTTACATTGGCAAATATTCAAAATGCGATAAAATATTCTATTGAGGTTGTGAAGAAAAAGTATTCTCATACATTGCTAGGAATACAAATAGGTACAACTCCTGTGGGTAGAAAATCTGCCGATATCCAACAAAACTGCATACACATTTCCCCTTTAATTCCAAAACTCCAGTTCTAGGAATTTATACTAAAAGAACACTTCCAATAAAACAAAAGTATAGCACAAAGTTTTTCATTATAATATTTTTTGTTGTTTTTGCTTTTAGTTTTTGGTTTATTTTGTCATTTTTTTCTTTTTCATTATAACATTTTTATGACTGCAAAATCTGGAAAACTACGTAAATGTTCGAGTATAGATGATTATGCTATGGCACATATGCAATATGCAGTACTAAAAAATGATGAGGAACATCCTATTGACATGCAGCAATTTCCAGGATACACAGTATTATAAAGTAAAAGTGAAATAGAGTATATATGCTAAAGTTTGTGTAAGAAATAAAGGAAAGTAAAGAAAAAAAAGTAGCTATCTACTTATCTTTACAGAAATACCAGAAAATTGTCATTACTTAAAAGGGTGGAGTGGGAGAAGACAGCAGAAGGGACAGGGGAGAAATATACTCTATAGCATCTATATAGCATCTATATAGTATAATAATGTTCTGCATATTCAAAGAATAATATTAAATCCCTAATGATGAGAAAGGGGGAAATTGCAAAAACAAAAAGCAAACAGAAACAAATGAACTCATTTGTGTTTCACATGAATATCAAAACCACAGGGAGGAAACAAATACAAAGAACTAGTTCATGTAACTTAGGAACATAATATTTGACTATATACATTCAGGAAGATAGGATAGGAGTGGTTTGGTGCACAGAAGGATATCTATAAATTACCCTTAAATTATTGAAAAAAATATTGTATCTATGAAAGAGCAAGACAATAAAATGAAGTAAATGTTAACTATGGGTGAATTTTAAAGGGTACCTTTTTTTGTAAATTTATAAAAAAATTCTCCTCTTTGTACTACTTTCACCACTCTGTTTCCTACTAGTATCTTGATAAAGTGGTCTTCGTGTCCCATCTCCCCTCTAGCCCCATGGAATTAACCTGATTTCTTCTATTCAGACAATGCTGAATTAGCTTTTTCTAGGTCAGGTGCTTGCTCCCCAGACTGCTTGTCCCTTGGATGCTGCTGGCCTCCTTGTTCCATCTTGAATCTTCTCAATTTACTCTATATACTTAGATACTAACCCCTAGACAAAACTCCTACCACTCCTATAAGCTGTCTCTTAGATATTCATCTCTGTCCCAGATCCTTCTCTTCAATTACAGACCTGATTACAATTATCTTTAATTACAGACCAAATTATCCACCCCCGCTCCTCCCTTTGCCTAAACCAGAAGGGGGACTCTTATTTTCCTAATCTACTCCAAAACAGCCCATAAAACCAGCTGATTCCATTGCTTAAATAGTTCTCAAGCTCCCACCTCTGCCTCCATCTCCATTTTTGCTGCTAAGACCTTAGTTTAAACCCTTCTAAATTATCTTCTGAGCTGCTACTATATAGTCTATCTGCCTTCATTCTTATGCCTGTCCACTTCTTCTTCCAATAGCTTTTAAGAATTTTATACAATGCATACCTGATCACTCCCTGCTATGGTTTGCATGTCCCCGCCAAAACTCATGTTGAAATTAAATTGCCACCATTGCAACAGCATTAAGAAATGGGTCTTCCCTACCCCTCCCCTCCTTTCATTTTCTTCATCCTTCTTTACCTCCCTCTGTCTTTCTTGGTTCTGGAGGTTGAACCCAGGGGCACTTTACCACTGAGTTATATCCCCAGACTTTTTATTTTGAGACAGGGTCTCCCTAAATTGCTTAGGGCCTCATGAAATCAACAAGGCTGGTCTTAAACTTGCAATCCTCTGCCTCAGGCCTCCTGAATCCCTGGGATTATAAGCATGTGCCACCACTCCTGGTGCATCTTTTTCTTTCTTATTTTGAAAAATTATTTATTTATAGTACCGGGAATGAACACAGGGTACTCTAACACTGAGTTACACCACTGGCTTTTAAATTTTGAGATGGGTGTTGCTAAACTGCTCAGGCTGACTTGGGACTTGTGAGCCTCCTGTGTCAGCCTGGACCCCTTCCCAGTAGCTGGAATGATAAATGTGTGTCAAACAGTCTGGCTCTCATTTGTTGTTGTTATTTGTTTGTTCTTTGAGATGGTGTCTTGCTATGTTGCCCAGGCTAGCCTTCAACTCCTGGGCTCAAGGGATTCTCCTGCCTCAGTTTCCTGAGTAGCTGGGATTATAAAAGCACACCACAGAAGCCTGACCGAAGTGGGACTTTTAAGAGGTGATAAAGTCATGATGGCTCTGCATCTGTTATGAATGGATTAATGCTATTATCTTGGGATTGTGTTATTTATAAAAAGGCAAGCTTAAGCCTGGCACAGTGGTGAATGCTGCTCAGGAGGCTGAAGCAGGAGGATAACAAGTTGCCAGCCTGGGCAACTCTGTAAGTCCCTGACTCAAAATAAAAACAAAAAGGGGGCCAGGTATATAGTTCAGTGGTAGAGTGCCCTGGGTTCAATATTCATTAAAAAAAAAAAAGTGAAAGGGCAAGTTCAGCTCCATTCTGCCCCTCTCTCTTTGCTGTTCTGCCATGTTATGACTTCCACCATGAGGTTACAGCATAAAGACCTTCACCAGATGCCAGTGCCTTGATCTTATCTTGATCTTGGATGTCTTAGCCTCCAGAACTGTGAGAAATAAATTTCTCTTCATTATAAATTACCCAATCTGTGATATTTTGTTAGAGCAACAAAAAACAAAGTAACACATTTCCCAGGCCAGTCTTCTGCATCCAACCACTTAAAACTGATTCTTTGAACATAAAATAGACCACGCCACTCTCATCACCTCATTGCCACTACATGCACTGATTCTGAGTCTGCCCTTTCTCTGAACTTTTTAACAGATTCTTAGCTCCTTTCATGTCCTTCGGGATTATCTGATTGGCTGCTGACTGGCCTAGTCTGCATGTAATCACAAATACTTAACTATATACCTCTCTACGCTAGTCATAAGCCAGGGATCTCCTGGTTCTGGTTCTGTTCAATCATCTCAGTTTGGATAGGTGCATAATGTCTATCACTTAGTGTAGTTCACTCCTCTTATTGAGTAAAATGAAAATAGATCAACATATTCACTGAAAACAGCTCAAAATTCAAATTAATCAGTATCACAACTAAGAAAATGTGAAACAAAAATGCAGAACACCAAGATAGCACTGGAGTAAGTGCTGCTAAAAACTAAAGGCCTTAAAGAGAATGTAACAAAATATTAATTTATGCTCATAAGCAATACTGAAAATGCATTCTAGTTATCTCTGAGGCTGAATGCTGCACAAGAAACTTAGATTATGATCCATACCTTGCTTTCTTTACCCTGGTCTTGAGCTATTCCTAGAAATAAAGAGAGATAAGACAAGGTCTAGCCATCAAGGTCCCTGCAGAGGAGAAGGAATGCCTCACTGGAAAACAATCAATGAGATAAAAATGACAGAGACAAAGAGTCCAGATAGAGGAAATGGGTGGGGGTGGGGGGTACAGGAAGGAAAGACTGCCTAGAAGAACTAGGAAGAGGGTGGGAAGAAAAGAGTAAGAGGGAAGAGCAAGTGTAAAACAACTGATGTTCACCACCCACTAGACATCTGGAACACAGGACAGTTGGCAAAGCTGGACAGGTGGGCAAAAATAAGGGCTGTACTAGGGTCGGACTCATACTAAGGAGTACAGACTTGTCTCAGGAGTTTTAGACAAAGGAAAAGCAAATGTATGTAAGGATTTTGAAAGATCATTTATTTTACTAAATCAGAGGTTAGTGATCATTTTCAGTAAAGGACCAAAGAGCAAATATTTTAAGCTTTGTGGGCCATATAGGATGGTGCTTATTGTTTTGTTTTTTTTTAAATATCCTTTAAAATGTAAAAATCAGTCAGGTACAATAGTTTATGTCTATAATTCCAACAACTCAGGAGGCTGAGGCAAGATAATAAATTTGAGACCAGCCTGAGCAACTTTAGCTAGACTCTTAACAACTTAGTGAGACCTTATCTCAAAATAAATAAAGGGAACTGAGGATGTAGCTCAGTGGAATAGCAAAGCACCCTTGGGTTTAGTCTCCAGTACCCTCCCCAAAGGGAAAACTCATTCTTAACTTATAGTCCATACCCACAGATTACAGGCCCAGTAGTTTCCCAACCTACTGCCTATTCAATAATATAAAGGAACCAGAGTTACTTTGGGATGGTGTGATAATGGTATTGTAGCTGTTAGAGGTCCCCATTTAAAAAAAAAATATGCCAACTGAAATATACATGGCGTCTAGAATTTACTTTTAAAATACTTCAATTAAAAAAAAAAAAAAAAAGCAAAAATGAGACAAATGTAGCAGAATCCTGAAAAGAAAGATCACTCATACTAATTCCAGTGGGAGCATGGATTAAGAGGGAAGAGAATCAAGACCTGGAGTTCTAGCAGGTTATTAAAATCAGGAAGACTAATGTGGGGCTGTCATATGTCCCCTATGACACAAGAAAGGAATTACTCCAAAATCACAACTCTTCCACAGAGAGGGCCAGAAAGGTCCGAATTTCTTAGAAGTTCTCAAAGCTGGATGGGAAACCCCTCTCTAACCAGTTTTCAACAGGGATCATGACCCTGAATATCTGGTTAAATTAGTCAAAGTCAGTCACAATGCTCTTCATTCTTTACAAAACTATGTATCACTTACACCTGTGGGCATTTCTGCCAGTACCAACAAATAGTTTGTGATCTACTACCATTACCAACAAAAGTACATGCTGATAGTAAGAACGTGAACTCAATTTTTGTCTCTGCACCAGAGTCAGGAGCCACTTCTTAAGAGCCTAGACAACTCACATGAGCATAACTGTGACTCACTCTGGGGGCTGAAAATTCTTTCCTATAATAACAGACTGCAACAAGAAACAGGTACAACATATCAATCACTACTCTGAATTTCCAAGGGGCAACAATATTTCACAAAGCAATCTACTATCTCAAGTGTCACACTGGGATTCTGTCCCTTAAGTTCTTGGATTATATTTGACTTGGAGATAACTGGAGAAAGAAAATGAGAGAGAATGTACCACAAAATGGTTACTAACAAAGAAGAAAGAGAACCTAGAACGAGGAAACAGGCAAATGAAAGCTGGGACTAAGGAGTAAGCAAAGAAGGAAAGAAAAGTGATATGCAAAGGATAAAAGAGAAAATGGTTTGTGTTGTCTAGTTATTTTTGCATTTAGTTTGTGAATATCTGAATTGTAAATGGTTAACATGACTTGTTTCTATTGCTTAAAAGCAACAGTAAGGATTAAAGGTGATTTTTTTCTAAAGGTTGAAAAAAAAAAAAAAACAAGAAGAAGAAGAAGGAACAGACTCATACCTGGTAATGGAGAATAGATTTCCAATTGGCCCAGAAAACAAGGTAAAGGAGATTTTGAAAAGCAAGTTGAGAGATTCCCTGAAGCTAAAGGGGCAGGGACTGGCTTGAAGAAAGTCATGGATAGAATTAGTGTCTATTAGGTCAGTGAAAAACACGTCTCCAGAGGGAAAAACTACTTCATTTTTATATAGTTTTATTTGTTCTCTAAACACTCTACACAGTAATTACAATACTGATTTGACATTTTAACAGTCTGCCAATAACTGGCTGAGTTAATGTAAAACAAACATTCCTTAAAAACCTTAATCTAATATAATGGCATTCAGTACTATTGTTAGGGGTAACAAAAAATTAGAAATAATCCAAATTTCCCTGAATGGAACTAAAGCAAATTATGAACGTTCAAAACATCTAAACAATGACCAATCCAAAACCACGGCTCTGTAAAACAAAAACTGTTTTCTAATATGCAGGGATCTATAAAGCAGATTAAGTGGAAGAAGCAAAGGGCATCAGGATGTACTGTATCATCTTTGAAAAAAGGGAGAACTAACTACATTTATATCTGCCAGTTTTTAAATAAATTTTGGGACATACACTCAAACTAAAAGTGGTCACCAAGGAAGTAAGGGTTAATAAAAAGCTAAGCAGATTGGGGGAAATCTTTTCACCAACTTTTTAAGTTTTTATTATTGAAACCATATGAATATATTATATATTCAAAAATTCATTAAAAAAAAAAAAGTTGGGCTGGTGACCTAGTCTAAACGTCTTAGAACAACACAACCAGCCCTGGACTACCCCCAACCCACGTTTGTCTTTTATATTCCCACAACCTGGCTTCCTCCAGGCTTTCCCGCAGCCTAGAGGCCTCTTCCACCTTCTTTCTCCCTACACTAGTCACTCCTCAGATTTGAAGGCCCATGGCAAGTCGCCTTCCCCAAGCATACCCCTGCCGGGGGCCACAAAGCGCTTTCTGGGGGCTCCATCCACTCCTGCAGCAGGAGTCTCTCAACACCACTCACTCACTCACCAAAAAGAAGGAGTAGGCAGGTCGAATCAGAACACCCCTAAGGATCCTTCTGGCGCTAGAATTTCCTCCTAAGTCCCAGGGCCAAACTTAACTGTAACCGCGGCACCACAGGGTAGTTATTTTAAAGCGCTTATTTTCAGGATTGTCTACCCTCCCTGTCCAAGACAGCAATGAACAGTTAAGGAACACGGGGGGCGGGACACGGTCCTTCCTTGGAAGTCGGGGCAGCCCTAACACGACCCTGGCCTGCTCAGATGACAGGAGTTGGAGTCCTGTCAGTTTCAGAGGCGGGCCCTACACCCTTTGGCAGGCCTGAGATTTTCTTTCCTTCCCCTTTTCTCCCCTGGAACCCGCCTCTTGAGACGTGTGTGGGGAGGGCATGCTTTCTCCCAGGTCCCGCCCGAGACCCAGGGGGCAGCCTGGACCGGGCCAAGAAGGGAAGGGCGTGGCAGGCAAGGGCCAGGGGGGCGGGAGCGCAGGCGGCCCGGGACTCACGTACTGGCTGTGGCGGCGCCGCGGGAGCCCGGCCGCCAGCGGGACAAAAGCTCAGACGGCCCGACCGGAAAGACCTGCGCCAACCCCAGGGCACTTCCTATGACTCTCTGGGAAGCTGGAGGACTGACTCGATGGTATGCCCTCTTTTGGACACGTGACCGAGGATCCTCTTGGCCCGCTTAGGCTTGGAGAGTGGGAAGATCCTCCAACTCCTATTTATTTAGTACCGGTGCTGTGGTCCGCACTTGGGGGCGCGGCCTAGAAATTACAGGCGGAGTTTCCTGTTTTCGTGGACTTGACATTCAGGGATAGAATGGGGCGCGCGGTAGGAGGGGGAGCACAAGTGATAGCATGTGGATTGGTAGGATAAATACCTAACTTCCTACCGATGTACTGGAACACATAGTTACCGAATGAAGCCGAGAGAACGACCTGGGGAGTGGGGGGATCCAGATGGGGTCGGAGGAGAACCCTGGGCTGGGGTTCTCCTAAGCTGTTTCCAGAACCTAGTGGGGCACGGACATAGTGGACGAGAGTGTAAATCCACTGCTTGGGTTGAGAACCCCCACCGAACCCCCCTCTGGGCCTGCTGGAGTGAGGAAAGGAGCTAACCCCGGGGTTCTAGACCAGACCCCTTACTATGCTGGCTTGCTGGATTCGCACTGACCGGGCCTTTCCACACCCTGTCTTGGTGCGGGCTCCAAAACCCAAAGCCTAAAATAACTGCAAAGAATGTGTTCTTCCCATGCTGTTAGTGTTGACATTTAACTTCTTTTTTTTTTTTTTTTTTTCCATTTAAATGGATTCAGTGAGATCTAAAAGCCCATGAGGATTTGATACTATCATCCACTTTTAACAGACATTTTTGTAATTGGGAATTTTTTTTTTAACCTTGAACTTGTGTTTTTATTTTATGCTTCTCAGGGGGACTTTTATCCTAATCTAAAATGTTTTTATTCCACATGCTTCACTGAATTTTATCCTGTTAAATATTTTATGCTTTGGGTTTTATTGTTCATCTGATAAAAGAAAAAACTTGAGATGACCTAAAATGTAGTTCCAGGAAAGAGGATGGAGAAAAGAAATCAGAGAAGCTATTTAGCTAACAGCTTCAGACCAAAAACAAAAGACGCACAAAAACCCACTAAACTGCTTCACATTCTTGAGTGAATAATTGATACCACCCATTATGTGAGGAGTTCTCACATGTTGAAGTTTGAACATTGGAGAAGCATGCGGAGGCAAGCATATAAAGCAGGGTTTATTTAAAAAGGGTAATAAAAAAAAGAGGGGGGGGGGGTAATATAGACGTTTCCCAGGAGGGACAAGGGGGCCATAGCTGGTATCCTGATATCCCAAGAAGAGAGGTGGTTTGCCCTTTTTATATGTCCTAGGCTGCCTTTGTTCTGCCTGCTTCCTCTTATCTTTCTCCTTCCTGCATATGTGACTAGGTGGGATGGCCAAAAGGTGGGAAACAGGTGGGCTGAAGGGGTAAGGGCAGGATGGTGCAGCCCAGGACTTATTAATTAACAACCTTGTAGTTCCCTGTAGGGAGGGGCAATTCCTGGGACAGTTTACCTCAGCGACAGGTTGGAGCAGGGACAGTTTCTTGATAAGGGTGGAGAAAGGGCTCCAACTCTTGGGCTCACTCAAAATTAGCTTCCTTGATCCAACCTGACTCGATTTACCTGTCTATACTGATTGCCTGTATAATTCTGGCTTCATAATTAAACCCTTAACTCAAAACTTCAGGAAGCAACAAGTATTTTTCCTTGCTGGCTATCCTTCTGTCCCCAAAATGCCTGGCTTGGCCTTGTCCCTACCAGTCTTTCTATAGCTAATGTGGGGTAGAGTCCTTTCTTTCCCCAAAGTTAAAAATGCTCTTGGCTCTGTGCTGGTGGAAATTTTTCCAATTACATAGCCCTGCTATAGGTAGTTAGGGGAAATTATCCCAGTATCTGGTTGGACCTTTTTCTGGTTAGCATCTGTAGTGGCTCAATAAACCCTCTTATTTCCATAGATCCCTTGGTTCTTTAGGATTTTGGTTTAACACACCCTAGCAGACATCTCCATAATGAAATGATTACTTCACAATTTTTTTCTTATTTTAAAGTGTTAATTATTATTAACAAAGCTGTGTAAGTATGTTGTAAAGCCTTATGTTCAGTTCTTACACCAAAACTTAAATGCTTTGGAAGTATAACTTTTTTTAAGTTCAAATTATACTAGGGTGAATTGTACTGATGGCTGGAATAAGCTGGGGCTCAGCATCAATTTTATGCTTAGTTTTCTTTTGTATCTATGGAAGGTCTGAGTCAAAACAGAGTAACTCAGTGGAGTAATGTTGACATTTAAATAGCAATATAGGAATTTTGTTTGTAGCAATAATCCTTTGGTTGTATTTGGACTGCATGCCAGAATTCCACATACTCAAAAGGAAGTCTGGGCCAGTGGGAGCTTTGCTTTGTCTTTGAGCAGCAGGCAGCGGTGAACTCTAGTAGGAAGCAGATCCTTAAATACTGTTCAGGCCAGGAAGTTTTGAATAGGAGCACAAGCAAGTTGAAGATTGGGAGGAGATTCTCCTAGAGCTGCCCTAACCAGTAATCTAGACATATGTAGCTGTTGAGCACTTGAAATGTGGCTAGTGCAACTGAGGATCTGAATTTTTAATTATATTTAATTTAAATAGTCTCATGTGACCATGTTATTGGACAGCATTGTCCTAGAAGGAGCTTTGGGCAGTTCTAAGCTTTCAGAAAAATTCAGACTGAAGGCTGCTGCCTTAAGCTGGCCTGCCAACCAAGACAGCAGCAAAGTTTAAAATATTTATGTCCAGGTTGGAGGGCTTTGCTCAATAAAAGGTAGTTTGAGAGAGAGAGAGAGAGAGAGGTAGATATCATTGAGAAACCTAAGAAATTGCTTCAGATGATTTTTAGATAATGTTTTTTCTCTTCACGAGTCTTGTAATACTGCAGCACTTTTTGTTTGTCCTTATGCTTACACACACACACACACACACACACGCACGCACACACTTTTCCAACACTGTCTCTTTGGAATATTTACAGATCATTGCAGTGTTTAGAGTTGTCCAATATGGTACTACTGTTCACATCTGACTATTGAGCACATGGTGGCTAGTCTGAACTGAGATATGTTGTGAATATAAAATTCACTCTGGATTTTCAAGCTAAGTAGGAAGAAAATGTAAAATATTAATATTTTTATGTCTGTAATATTATATTGAACTATACTCTCCTTTTCTCCTGTTGTTAATCAGTGAGATTCTTTAAAATTGTCTTAAAAAATAAGTCTGTGTTGTAATAAATAATTCTGTGCAAAGTTCTTCCCATATTTTCCTTGGAATAGTTGACAAAAATAGAAATTCTTGGATCAAAAGAAAATAACATCAGTGGAGAATTAAAAGCACTAGTAAGCTTAGTAGGGGAAACATTGAAAACAGAGTAAAGAAACAGTAAGAGATGTTACCCACCAACACCCCCTGCAACTGGATAAGAAAAAAATGTAGAATGTAAATATTGGAAAACAAGGGTATCACTATCCTATTTTCAGGTAATAAGCATATTAATAATTAAGCTGGTGTAATTCTGAGGCTTATCAGTGAAACCTAAAAATAGACCTATGTGGTTATGGGTATATCTGATAAAGGTGACAAATTTGGGCAGAAAGATATAACAACTGGGAAGTTTATTTATTAAAAAAAATAAAGTTAGATTGAAATTTTAGCCCTTATGTTGGGATAAACTACATATATATATAAGAGTGAAATGTAAAATGCCATACACAAGCCAGAAGTATGTGCCTGTAGTCCCAGCTACTCAGAAGGTTGAGACAGGAGGATTGCTTGTTGCCCAGGAGAGTGAGAGCAGCCTGGGCAACATGGTAAAACCTCCTCTCAAGTAAATAAGTGATAAATAAAAATGTATACACGTTGACCATCACCAGTGTACAGGTGAATTCTTTGATCATATTGGAATAGAGAAGGTTGTTTTTCTTTTTTTACTCTAACAAATCCAGAAACTGTAAAAGTAAAGAATTGCCAATTCACATAAATAAAAATGAAATACTCTGTGGCAAAATCACCATAAGCAAAGTTAAAAAAACAAAAAAATCAAATGACTACCTAGGAAAAATATTTGCCTTTTATAGGCAAATTTCCCTGATAGACAAAGTTCATCTCCAAAACTGATAAGATGAAAAACCCACTAGAAAAATAGGTTCACAGAAAAGTATATACAAATGACTCAATAAAAATTTAAATCCAAAGTACACAGAAATACCCTATTTCTATCAGAATGACAAGCATTCAAAAATTTGATAACACAGTGTGGTAGTCATATCACAAGGGAAAGCACTCTTCTGCCCTGCTGTAGGGAGCATAGACTGACCCAGGGGACTGGACAATACAGACTAACATGCACGTATCCTTGGCATTTCTGCTCTAGAAATTCCCCATGCTGGTGTAGTAACACTGCTACAGTTTGGATTTGAAATGTCCCTGAGAGTCCCATAGTTAAAGACAGCCTGCAGCACTACTGGGAGCTGATAGAGAACCCTTAGGAAGTGGGGCCTAGGAAGTTGGATCACTGGGCATATGCCCTTGAAAAGGACATTGGGACCTCGACTACTTCCTCTCTATTCTTCCTTACTTTCTGGCCACGTGAGGCAAGCAGTTTTCCTTCATCACATGCTCCCATTATGGTGTACTCTGCTGCCATAGGCCCAAAACAGTAGAGTCAAGTGACTATGGACTGAGATCTCTGAAACTGTTACATAAACCTTTA